AGGACGTTCCAACACGCCCACACTGGCAAGGACGAGCTCAGAGCTGAGCCCTCCGAGACATGGGATGCCCTTGAATTCCGATGAGCGTCCAAAGGGTCTATAACGATAAGGTACTTGGGGTTTCGGGCAGTCTTTAATACTCAGCTACTTGGCTTTAGTATAGTCCATAACTGTAAGGGTCCAAATGGTCTTTAACCTCGTAGTAGAGCAGGTAACCTTTAACCTTTTTGGGTGCTATAGTCCTTGTATAACCCCGATATAACCAAAAAGGTTAACCTTTAGTTCCCCAGGATACCCGACAAGTAGGATGAGGATGAGGTACTTGGGGTTCGGACAGTCCATAAGACTCAACTGCTTGGCTGCAGTATGGTCCATAATTGTACGGGACTTGGATTTGGGATAGTATGTTTTGAAGGCTAGTATTTTGGCGAGCATATGATGAAGTACCTGGACCCTTAGGGAACCACCGTCCTTCAGAGGGCAGGGAGCCGAAGTCAGCACTTCCGCTGGTGCACCGGCTAGAAAGGCAACGCTCAGAGCTGGACCTGTGAAGCCTGCATGCTGTACTTGGAGGTTCATGGGGTGGTTTAGGGTTTAGGGTTTAGGGGTTATGAGTTGTTTATGCGTCCCCTCACTAATACATGTCAGAACTATAGTTATCCTACTCATAAACCCTACTTTTGACTGCCCACGAACCTCCAAGGAGGTTCAGTAAGTCATACAACCGTGCCTTACTGACTGTGGTGGGCCATAAGATTTCAATTCGGGATCAAATTGGGGACGTCTCGTAGCCGGAATAAGGTCCGAATTGAGGAATCGTCTGCCTTGTGGGTTGATTGGAGCACTTGGCGATAGTTCATATGATTCCCAGCACAGTTTTCCAAACATGTGCAAGGCGCGCGAAGGGCCCAAGTGAAGTCGTGGTTTCCTCGTGCCTGGATAGTCACCATAACAACAATAATCATAATATGAGCCTCGAATCTCTAGGAAGCTTAAACAAGCAGGAAAGCATTAGGTGTTTGTGTTGGTCCTAGCAATGCTACAAGCTGCAGCTTTCCAGACTATGACTATGCAAGCGGATCCTCGAACAACCTCTGAACTCCACCTTGTTGAGTTTAATTTGGCCTAACCTTTCTAGAAATGCAAAACCTCTAAACTTGCCGGTGAATCCGGCTTTGCGGGAAGTTATGTATGACCCCTTAGCTGTGGAAGGTGAACCCAGCTTGCGCCCCTCCAAAGCAAGCTTGGATATAGTATTGGATTTGTTTAGGGCTTCGTGTTTCGATGGGAAGTTTTGGGTTTGAGAGTTTGGGGTCTTTCCTCAAGACTCCACCTCGTACAGATTTCTGGGCCCCAAAACCAAAACCATAATCGCTCACCTGGGTTCCAAAAGTGGGTAATCGCAATTATTGGTTTGTGGGCCATAATTTTACTTACCCTAAGGCTCCATGTACCCATATAGTAGGCACTTAGGCCTTAGCTTGCCTATATAGGGACCTCTTTAAGGCTTATCTACTATAAAGGTACATGGAGCCTTTGGGTTACTTCTGGGTGGTACTTGGAGGGTCGGGGGACTTAGAAAGTAGTTATTTCATAGAGTTATAAATACCATAACCCCAATTAGGGTCCCTATTAAGGTACTTATAAGTCTATATAATAACTACTTACTAAGTCCCCGAACCCTAAACCCTAAACCCTATAGTACCCTTTATAGAGCCCTTTAAAGGAACCCTTATAATCCCCTTTAAAGGAGCCTCTACTTACTAAGTCCCCCAACCCTTCAGGTATAGGTAGGGCTTGCGGTCGGCGTGGGGTCCCGAGAGCCGAACCTTAAGCCACTAGGCTTAAGCCCTAAACCTTAGAAGCTGCCCCCACCCTGTAATAGTGAGTATAAGGATTATATTAGGGCCCTATTATATTCCTATTATACCACTATTACAGGGTGGGGGCAGCTTCTAACCTAAACCTCAAACCCGCTGAGGCCTAAACCCCAAAGCCCTCTAATCCTAAGACTGAGAGTAGGCCCTTGTTCCCTTTTTTCAGGGTTCAGGTTCCCTTATAAGCCCCTTTACACCCGAAAGGGCACCCTTTTTAGTCCTGGGATACTCTTGGGTCTCTAATCTCGGATGCCCAGTAGTACCCTTATTCCTTTTTTGTAGTCCTAGGTTCCTTATAAAGTTACCCAATACCAAAAAAGGAGGCCTTTTTATTCTTAGGTTACTGGGTATCCTAGTAATCCTGAGTTGGCTGCACCCAATGCACGCCGATCTGGCAGTTGGAGATCGCCAAGCAAGACCCACCGTGAGAAGCTCGGGGGCGGGGGGGTTAGGGTTTGGGGTTTAGTAATAGGGGTTTAGGGTTAAGGCGGTTAAGGGGTTTGGGGGTTTAGGATGTTAGGGTTTAGTAATAGGGGGTTAAGGGGTTTGGGGGTTTAGGATGTTGGGATTTAGGGTTTAGGGGGTTTGGGGTTCAGGGTTTAGGGTGGGCAGAAGCTTCTGCCTCCTGTTCTACTCCGTTTATGACTCGATGATCCGACTC